TCAGCTCCTGGCCTAGTTTTCACAGCTGATATTGAGCTTCTCCAGCAGTTCTTTCCACAGACGTAATCGATCTGATTCCTATGCATACCATCAGGTGAAATCCATGTACATAACCTTTTTTTTTATGTCTCTTAAAAACATATTTGCAATGAATAAGTCATTGATTGTGCAAAATTCAATCATCCTCTCTCCAGCTCCATTTTTGTCACCAAGTTCGTGTTTTCCAACTACTGAATCTTCTTCTCTGTTCCCAACTTTTGCTTTCCAGTTACCCATTATTATCAATGCATCTTGATTACATGCTCGATCGATCTCCAACTGTAAAACATGGTAAAAATCTTCTATTTCCTCTTCTATGGCTCTGGTTGTTGGTGCATATCTGAACGATAGTGCTATTCACTTGCCCTCCTTTTATGCATATGGATAATTATTATAACTCCTATAATTACATAAGTCATATCTAGATATTAAAATGTTGCAGTTTAAGAGTTTTATAGGATCAAGTCAATGGCACATAAGGCAGCAACATTAGGGCACAATATGAAATTAGTTTCTTGGCTTTTCTAAAATCCTAGGGTGCTCTGGTGGCCTAGTAGTAGTAAGGAGCTGTGCTGCAATCCTGAAGGCTTGCTGCTCAAATCCACCAGCTGCTATGCAGAAGAAAGTTGGCAATCTCTTCTCATGCAATTGAAATTGTCTCTGAAAACCCACTGGAAGGTCAGCTATGGGTTGCTTATGACTTGATAGTACACAGCAACAATAACAACTTCTAAACTTCACAAACATTACCAAAGTTCACAGAGTCTGTATGTATCAGAGTTGACTTACTGGCACCTAACCACAATAAATCATCTTCTTTGTCATGCAATTTTCTCCTTGTGAACTGAGCGGTTCACCACAGCAACAAACATATGCGTTTTGAGCTTGTGAGGATTTGTGTAGACTTAAGAGTTGGGTAAGACAAGAGAAAGCTTATGTTCAAATTTGATTTCACCACTGGATAATTGTTGGACTCTTGAAATGATTTAAAATCTTAGTACTTATCTCTATATCTACAAAATGGACATGTCTTCTATTTTACAAATTGAAAGAGAACATTCTATGCCTGATGTTGAGTACACAGTAATTGTTCATTGAATGTTAATCCCTTTGTTATGAAAAACTATTGTAAAGTTTATTTAATGAAATTATTTGATGAGCATAAATGGAAGACAAAATAAAAATATCATGCTTCACCTGCTCTGAGAAAGCTTTCAGTGTCTCAGGGAGGCCAGACACTGACAACTATATTGTTGGAGGGCAACACATGTCTGGATGTGATCCCTGAAACTCAGATCAAAGGTCAACGTTCTCCCTTCCCAACTGTATAATGGCCTGTGTTTTTGTTTGTTTTTTAAGATAATCAAGAAATGACAGCTATATTGTAAAACATCTGAAATTTTAGCTTTTAATCTTCTATAAAGAACCTGCTGAAAGATGGTTCATTTTAGTTAGCTAGGAAACTAGACGAAACTAGATGAAAAATAATTTGATTATGCGTTGAGAAAAGATATGGAAAAATCTAGAGATAAACAATGAAAGTAAATTTTCAATTGATGTGCTTGGTATGATGAGCAAAGAGACATATTCAAATACTAATTCCCTCTGGATTATAATTTTATATAAGAATTCTATATTTTTTCATTATTGAAATATTATAACATTATAAGGCTTTTGAAAAACAGCAAAGTGAAAAACATGTCTTTCTTCCCTGACTTTTCCCTACATATTTATTTTTTTGGGGGGGATAACTGCAATCAGTTTATGTGGAAATTTTCAATTTTCCTGATTCAGTTAATATGTCAAAGAATTTTTAAGTGCCAAGTAATCTAGTTCACATTTTATTAAACCAACTTTCTATTTTGACTAGTAAAAATCTTCAGAATAACTTTCTTCTCTGAGTTTGGTACCACTCCCCTAGCTCTTAAAGGATTTTACTTATAGGCAAATTCAGATTTAAGAAGGAAAAAATGAAAGTACAAGCTTTCTTAACTAAATTCAAGTACACCTTCCATACATTCTTCTCCTTATGCCCAGACCCATTTATCAACTCTGATTTCTATCAGCTTCTGCCTTATGTAAGCCTTGCTTAACTTGCAATATTCTACTATGGGTGCTTGTGTTTAAAATGTAGCTTAACCAAAGCCAAATATTAGGGCAAGGTCAATGACAAAGAGACGAAGAAGAAAACAGAGACAAATACAGCATTAAAGGAAGGGAGGAAAATGTTATGAATATATTTATTTCTTAAACTCAAATAGGCTCTATTGAAAGGTGTAGTTGTCATTTTGACCTTAATTTACATCACTTTTTTTTAACTTTCTTCATATTTCATCTTTTTTTCTTTTTCTTTCTTTTTTTTTTTTTTTTTACTTTGTACCTCCAGGCTCTCTTTCCAAGGATTTCACTAGCTAATGGATTTGCCCCTCTCCTTTAGTTATCTTGTCATCTCTTACACTCTACTTTCCTTCCCTGTTATCTGCCTAGTGCCAAGAGAAAACATTCTCAGTCAGGTGATATTTAATGTGCATTCTCCTATGTGTAGGGCATAGTGCTAACCTGGGAGTTCAATGGTGAATGACAAAGTCTGGACTGGTAAAAATCAAGGTAGGGATGTGGAGAGGCTTTGAATGAGTGGACATTCAAAGACAGAGATAGATTAAGCTAAGTGAAGGGTGAGTGGGTATAGTGAGGGACATTTTGACAGGAAACAGCCTATGCAAAGCTATATGGTGAGAATGAGCATGAGAATTGCAAGGAAAAGAAAGGTCCAAGTATATGAAATCATTCTTATTCGGTGTACATCCTTGTCCCCACATTAACACTCATAAAGTCATGAAGCTCACATGCATATTTTACTTCTATCTTTTCTTTCTAGTCAGGTGAAAGGACTCGAAGCCTCACGGTGTCAGTGCATTTACCTTTTCTCATCGTGTCTATAAGATGAAGAGGTCCGGCCACTGGTCCATATAAACATCTTAGAGGATGTTGGTTCAGGGGTTCCTTTTCTTATAGTCGAAGTCCTGGAGGAACGGTGAAAAGACCTAAAAGAGATACACACTGACATGAAATCCACTACTCTAGGGTTTTGTATCAATGAAACTCTAAAGTCTTTTAGATAAGGTGAGATTTCTAATTCATGCGTTTGGGGCACTAGGATGGTGCAAATGGCTAATGTGCTTGCTGTTGTCTTGGTTACCTAATGCTAAAATAATGGAAACACCACACGTGGCTGTCATCAAGACACATAACATTTTTTTAATTTTTTTTTTTTTCAGTTTAGGAGACTCAACTCACTGCTGTTTTAAAGTTGACTTTGACTCACAGTAATTCTGCACTGGGTTTCCAAAGTTGTCAATTGTAAGGGAGGAAATGGCTTTTTTTTTTCTCCCAATGAGCCATCTATGATTTCAAACTGCTGGAGATGTTTTGCTTAGCAAAGTAACATACTATGGATATGAAGTCTGAATTCAGAGTACTGGTTCCAGAGGAAAGCTTTTTCTTTGTGTTCATTCTGGAGGGGAAAAAAAAATTCTCTCTTTAGCATCTATCTATTCAGAATTCCTTTGAGATTCCCATGTGTCTTGACGTAAGTTTTTTTTTTTTTTTTAAATTAGGGAGGTACATCATACACAGATGTTTTCTGCTTCTGGCTCTTCTTTCTTGATGGTAATGAAGTTTGCTTTCCTTTACTCATTTCTTCCTTATTTTATTGCTTGTAAGAAAAATAAGGGATGAAGGCCACAGGCCAGGAAAATGTCCATTACATTGATTCAAGCTGTGGCCTGTGATTAAGGATGTTTCAGCCCACTCAAAATCTCTTATGATTGTTTCACTGATCACATCAAGGGAATGATCATATCATTACACAACTACCTCTAATCTTGCCTTATTTACATTGTTGTTATTAAGTGCCATAGTGTCATAGATAACCCATAGTAACCCTATGAACAAAAGTCTTGAAGGCAAAACCTTGATCTCTCCAAGTTCATAGAGTTTCATGGGGCAAGTTTTATGGAAGTGGATGCCACTCCTGCTTCCAAGCTTGTTTTATTTGGGAGATAAAAAAACAAAACAAAATCTAGAGCTGAGAGTCACAGGCCCAAGGACCCCAAAGCCTTTTTAAATACAAGATTAAATCCAATCAGCTCATACTCTGTTGCAAGCAAGAGCCACACCTTGGTCTCAACCCCAAACCAGAAAACACACCTTTGCAGAATCTGGCTGTTCCACTCATCTCCCCATCCTGGAAATAGCCCCAGACTCCTGGCCGAAAGCCTCTTTAAATATGAGGCCAAATCCAATCAGCTCACACACTGTTGCAAGCAAAAGTCACAGCCTTGTCTCAATTCCAAAACAAAAAAACATCTTTGCAAATTATGGCTATTCCACTTGTCTTATCATCCTGGAAATAGTCCCAGATGGGTAGCCAAAAGTCTTTCTAAATATGAGGCCAAATACAATCAACTCACACCCTTTTGTGAGCAGCAGCCATGCTCTAGTCTCAATTCCAAACTAGAAAACACACCATAGCATAATCTGATCATTCCACTCACCTCCCCTTCCTGGAAATAACCCCATACTGGTGGCCAAAAGCTTTTTAAAATATGTGGCCAAATCCAATTAGCTCATACTCTGTTCCAAGCAAGAGCCACACTTTAATCTCAATCCCAAACCAGAAAACACACCTTCATAGAATCTAGCCATTCCACTCATCTTCCCATACTAGAAATAGTCCTAGACTGGTGGCCAAAACTCTTTTAAAATACAAGGCCAAATTCAGTCAGCTCACACCCTGTTTCAAGCAAGAGCCCACCCAAGTCTCAACCCCAAATATCTTAGAGGTTCAAATTTACCACACAATGGATAATTTAATAATATTTGGAATCAGAACCTGGCCAAGTTTGCATATATTCATTCATACACACAATTCATTCTAGAATAATTCAGATCAAAATGTTGAAGGACAAATTCACCCAGAGGATCCTTGGAAGAAAGGGCTAGTACTCTTCTTCAGAAAAAGCAGTCATTAAAAACATGTCTGATAATGGACTTATATCTAGAATTTATAGAATACTCCAGCACCTCTACAAGATAAAGGTAAACAACCCAATCGGAAAATGGGCACAGAATACAAACAGACACTTCACCAAAGAAGACATTCAGATGGCAAACAAACACATGAAGAAATGTTCAAAATCCCTAGCTCTAAGAGAGATAAAAATCAAAACAACTATGAGATAACATCTCACTCCAGTAAAAATAGAAAAATTCAATAGAGCAGCAAACAATGAATGTTGGTGAAGCTGGGAGAAACTGGAACCCTTATTCACTGTTGGTGGGAATGTAAAATGGTGTGTACATGATGGAAAACAGTATAGTACATTCTCAAAAATTTGGAAATAGAGATAACATTTGACCCAGCAATTCCACTACTGGGAATGCACCCAAAAGAAATTAGAACTGCCTCCCAAACTGATATATGCACACCTATGTTAACTATAGCAAAGAGAGGAAAACAACCCAAGTGCCCATCAACAAACAAATGGATAGAGAAGCTGTGGTATATTTTCACAATGGAATACTATGCAGCACTGAGAAACTAAGGAAACTCATGAATTATTCTACAAAATGTGTGACCCTGGAGGACCTTATGCTGAGTGAAATAACTCAGTCACAAAAGTACAGATCCTGCATAATTCCACTGTTATAAAACAGGACTGACATGGAGGTTGGGGGAAACTAAGAAAAGAAGGGATAAATAATGTACATTGTATTGAAACAGATGAGGAATAGAACTGCTTAAAAGAAATATATGATTGATTATTGTTTGCCTGACAACAGTCCAGAATAAGAGCTACATAGTAAAGTGCACTCAGGGGGCAGATATTGTACATCAGTGAAAGAGGTTTGTTTTTTGTTGTTGGTTTGTTTTTTTTTTTTCAAAGAGAAAAGTTAACTGGGGGTGGGTTGGGCAGGGAGGAAAATGTGAAATAATGAATGAATGGAAATCCAAGTTCTCTATAAATTTTCATTAAAATTTCAATTAAAAAAATCTACCAAAACCCAAAAACCTCTATGGATGATTATATACAACCAAGAAAAAAATTAAAAAACAACCCTGACAAAACCACAACATTATAGAGTGCAGTTCTCTTATAAATCAGCCAGCATTGCCTTCAGAGCAATGAGTTTTTGGAGACTTTGAGCAATAGTTCTAAACTCAACCTGTACATTAAGAGAAAGTTTTAATCTTTTTTTAAAATACTGAAGCCTGGGTCACTCTGTGAAAAATCAGTACTCAATTTTTAGACATTTATTATTTTTTGTGGAAAATATGTTAAAAAATATTGAAGAATTGATGCCTTTGAGTTATGGTGTTGGTGGATAACATCAGATCAATAATAGATTGCTAGAAGAATGTTCATTCTGATGTGGATTGGAAGAAGTATGGCCAGAATGCCTCTTGGAAGTGAAGATGGTGAGACATCATTTATGTGTTTTGATCATATTCTCAAGAAGGACTAGCCTCTGTGAAAAGGCATTACATTTGATTAAGTAGAAGGTCATTGAAGAAAGGAAGATCTTCAGTGAGACAGATTGACACAGTGTACGAACAATGATCTCAAACAAAGCAACACTTGTGAGTATGGTACAGAATTGGGCAGTATTTTGTTCTATTTTAACTCAGAGTCACCGTATCTTAGAACCAACCACATGACATCTATCAATATTGTTTCTTGTGCATGGCTAAGTTGTGAGCTACTGCCTTAGATGGACTTAGTATTTTAGTTGATTGTTGTGCCATTGAGTCAAGTACGACTTATAGAAACCCTATGAATGAAAGAGCTGAACCCTCTTCTACCCATTCTCACTATCCTGACACACCACTGCAGCAGTCACTGTGTCATCCATCTGGTTGAGGGTCTTCCTTTCCTTTGCCGACCCTCCACCCTTCTTAGCATCATGTCCTTCTCCAAGGAATAGTACCTCGTAGCAACATGCCCAAAGTATGTGAGGTGGAGCCTCATCATTTTTGCCTCCAAAGAGCACTCTGGGTGCATCCTCTCCAAGAAATAGCTGTTTGTTCTTGTGGCTGTCTATGGGACACACACAGCTCAAAGGCATCAATTCTTTTTCTGTCCTCCCTATTCACTGTCCAGTTCTCAGATGCGTATCAAGTGATTTGAAACATGATTGGCAAGCGGTTAAGACAGACTAGGAAGCAGGATGGGCCATCTACATCCTAAATAATGGGTCTTTGAAAACTCTGTGAACACTAAATGAAGAGGATAGTTACAGTAGTGTAGTGGTAGAGCCCAGATTTGCAGTCAGTTGAAATGAAAAACAATAACAAAAATTATTTAATAATTGAGATATGGAATGTACATACCTTGAATGTTGGAAAGCTAGAAATTGTTAAATATGAAATGGAACGCATGAACTTCAACATACTAGGCATTAGTGAGATGAGATGGGCCAACTTGGGCCACTTTGAATCAGATAATCACATGGTACAATATGCAGGCAATGAAAAACCAGAAGAATGGTGCTGCATTCATAGCCAAAAAGTCAATTTCAGGTTCTATCATGACATACAATGTTGTGAGTAATAGGATAATATCCATACACATACAAAGAAGATATGTTAACTTGACTATTATTCAAATATAAGCTCCTATATCTGGAGCCAAAGAGAAAGAAATTGAGAATTTTTACCAAATCTTCCAAATTGACCGAACATGCTATCAAGATGCATTAATGATAACTGGTGACTGGAATGCAACAGTGGAAAATAGTGAGGAGTGGAAAATATAGGATTGGTGATTGAAATGAGGCTAGAATTTTAGTTGATATTAGGACTATATTTTTCACAAAATGTTTCCTTTCAAAATAAAATTTTGATATGGTTTCACAGACTGTAATACACTATATTTTTTAAAATTTTGGTTATAGTTTGGATACTAAAATGCCATTTCCCCCTTCCTCTTAAAACAGTTTCCCTTAATATAGGAGATATATTATACTGAAAATGATATA